AGCACCAGCCTCCCAGTCTTGGTCTGGTGGCTCCTCCCCTGCTTCGGCCTTAAAACCCCTTGTCTGTGGCCAGGAGCGCAGTCCTCAGGTGCCCCGGGCAAGGCTGCACTGCTCCTCCTGATCCTGCGCCGGCCAGAGGGATGAGGCTCTCCCCAGCCTGAAGGTGGGTCCGAGGGTAGGTTCTGCGTAGCTGGTCAGACAGGCGGTGGTAGGAACGCGTCTGCAGAGTGGCAGGAGGAGCAGCAGCCACTAGGCACCTCAAGGGGACACCAGCCATTCAACTGAGCAGGGCTGTGAGATTCTGTTTGTTGGGGACCAGGGACACACTGCGAGGGGCACAGAGCGAGGAGGTGCCTTGCCAGAGGCTCACAAATGTGAGGACTGTCTTGGCCTGAGGACACTGACTGCCCACTCCTGGCAGGCACCGAGACCCTGCTTGGCAGCGTCGGACGCCCCACTCCTCAGTTAACCAGGCCACCGAGAGCGGAGAAGACCTAACTGAGGGGACAGATGGCTTCAGCTGGCCTAGAACTCCTAGGCATGACCCTGGCTGTGCTGGGCTGGCTGGGGACCCTGGTGTCCTGCGCCCTGCCCCTGTGGAAGGTGACCGCCTTCATCGGCAACAGCATTGTGGTGGCCCAGGTGATGTGGGAGGGGCTGTGGATGTCCTGCGTGGTGCAGAGCACAGGCCAGCTGCAGTGCAAGGTGTACGACTCGATGCTGGCGCTGCCCCAGGACCTGCAGGCTGCCCGAGCCCTCTGTGTCGTCGCCCTCCTGCTCTCCCTGCTCGGTCTGCTGGTGGCCATCACGGGGGCCCAGTGCACCACCTGTGTGGAGGACGAAGTCGCAAAAGCCCGAATTGTGCTCACCGCGGGGGTCATCCTCGTCCTCTCGGGCATCCTGGTTCTCATCCCCATCTGCTGGACGGCCCACGCCATCATCCAGGACTTCTACAACCCCCTGGTGGCTGAGGCCCTCAAGCGGGAGCTGGGGGCCTCCCTTTACCTGGGCTGGGCGGCAGCTGCCCTGCTCATGCTGGGCGGGGGCCTCCTCTGCTGCACGTGCCCCCCGCCCCAGATCGACCGGCCCAGAGGACCCAGGCTGGGCTACTCCATCCCCTCCCGCTCTGGCACCTCTGGAATGGACAAGAGGGACTATGTGTGAAGTGTCTCCAGAAGCCCACTGCTCAGAGCCTTGCCTTTGCGCTGGATGCCCTCTCCCACCCCTGCCTTCTACCCTCGACCCCTTCCCCACATGAAACCTACTTTCTAGGCGCTCCAGCCAGGTCTGGCTGCCGGGCTAGTCTCAGATGGCTTGGCTGAGCCCAGATCCTCCTCCATGGGTTCCCCACCTCCTGGCCACCCAACTCCCCCAACCAGTTGCTGTCTTCTGCTTCCTGGACCTACGCTGGCTCTCCTCCCCTTCCTGAGGCCTCCTCTGCCCCTGGAACCGGGGCCTCCCCCAAAGGGCCGTACTCCTTGGCTCAAACAAGGAGAGGATTATGCTCTGCCGGCCCTGGAGCCGGTCCCCTCCAGTCTGGCCACCACCTTCATTCAGAGACCCAGGCCAGGCCCTCTGGGAGAAGCCGATCTCCTCCAGGCCAGAAGGGCCCAGCCCACTCCCTGCCCCCACCCGTTCCCAGAATAAAGAGTATTTGTACCTCTGCTGCCTTGACCTGTGATTGGGCAGGGAAGACCAGGTGGCCCGGGCTGTCAGGCCAAGGTCTGCTCCAGGCCCTGCTGAGCGGTAACCTCGCTCAGGCCGTGCTAGGCAGGTGAGCAACAGAGGTGAGTCGCTCATGTTCACCTTATTCCAGGCTGGAACTCAACAGCCTCCCAGCAACTCCAATGGCAAGTGACAAAACAAAACACTCTTTATTTAGTAAAAACTAGTGGGTGGGTGTGCCATGGCAGAAGTGTGCAGGGCCTGCAGGTGGGAGGGTCAGGGGTCTACAGCATGGCTGGGAAGCAACTCTGAGTCAAGCACGGAAGAGCCAGAGGTCAGAATCCTTGGAGGTAAGTGGTTTTGGGTAACTTATCACCTGCTCTTCTCAAGGGTACTGAGGCTGGAGCTCTGGGTCACAGAGGCCTGACCAAGAAGGCGGGGCTTATCCCTGCAAGCCCTGCCCCACCAGAGCAGGAACTCTTGGGGACAGACTGTCAAAGCACCTTGTTGTCACAAAGTACCTGGCCAGCAAACAGCCTTCACCCAGGGGTCACAGCTCCAGGCTGGCCTCCAAGACGGGAATGTCCAAGGTGGAGAAAGACGGAGAAACTGAAGTGTTGCCTCCTTGGTCTCATCATCCAAAGTGAGAAATGCCAGCAGCAGAGCCCAGGTGAGACTGAATTTCTTCTTGGTTTGGTGTTTAACAAATGGCTTAAAAGAAAAATACCCCCTTGCCCAACAAAAAGGAAAAACAAGATAAAAGCAACCCAGAAACTGTCATGCAGTCTGATTACTCCAGCTCAGGAGTTAAGCTCCATGGTCAAGGGAGCCCCCGTCCTCCTACCCATCAGACGTAATTCTTGGTGGGGTATTCAGAGGGCCCCTGAGAGATGGCTCGTGGAGCAGATGCTGAGTATCGGGCCAGGTAATGGCTGGAGGCCCGGGACCCCCCAGAGGGGCAGGTGTAGCACAGAAGCCCCCCACCCAGCAACAAAAGACCAGAAGCCGCCCAGCCCAGGTAGAGGGAGGCCCCCAGCTCCCGCTTTTGGGGCTCTGCCACGAGGGGGTTGTAGAAGTCCTGGATGATGGCGTGGGCCGTCCAGCAGATGGGGATTAGGGTCAGGACCCCTGAGATGACAAAGATAATCCCAGAGGTGAGCACCAGACGGGCCTTGGAGTCCTTGTCCTCCACACAGGTGGTACACTTGGCCCCACCGAGGTAGATCAGCAGACCCAGCAGGGTGATGAGGAGGGTGATGATGCAGAGGGCTCGGGCAGCCTGCAGGTCCTGGGGCAGCGCCAGCATCGAGTCGTACACCTTGCACTGCAGCTGGCCTGTGCTCTGCACCACGCAGGACATCCACAGCCCCTCCCACATCACCTGGGCCACCACAATGCTGTTGCCGATGAAGGCGGTCACCTTCCACAGGGGCAGAGCGCAGGACACTAGAGCATTCACCCAGCCAAGCAACGTCAGGACGATCCCCAGGATTTGCAGACCAGCAGAGGCCATGATGAGGTTGAGGTTGAAAGGAGCTGCCCTGGGGACAGAACAGAGTAATATTAAGACCAGCTGGCCAAGGTCCCTCATCTCCAATGAGTGCTAATCCCCATGCCCTATGCCATGGCCACACAGAACACCAGGAGTATAAACCTTGGGAGTTGGGGTGCCATGTCTTGCCCCGAGCCTCATTTTCTCATGGGCAAAATGAGCACGAATGCCTTAGCATATATTTCTTTTCCCATAGTTATGAGATAGTCTGTTTTGAGTACAAAGGGAAGATAATATAAAGCCTAAGCCAGCGCTAGTCCCTGGCCTCAGCCACTATGGGTACATTTGATCAAACAGCAAAGTGACAAAAGAGGATGGAGTGACAGGGAAGTTTGCAGGTGTTTCCACAGAGCGCACAGATGGGAGGTTGGTTCTAGCTATTGAGTTTCAATCTCAAAGCCATCAAGATTAGCGATCCAACCTTCTTCCCACCACCCAACAGGAGAGTCCAGACCCCTCACCCCAACATGGTTCGATACCTCAGGCAGGTGGCTACCGGTTTGATCTTAAAGATCTTCTGTGCTGTGTGGCCCACCAGTCCCCACCCGGCCTGCCCCAGCACGGCCTCTCCTCCCCTAAGGCCACTGGCTGTCTCCCTGGGTGCCACTCTCCTGCCCTCCCTTTGGGGCCCTAGAGCATACTGCCAAGGTCGGGGACATTTTTCTTGTGTATTCTTTCCCATAATGCCATCCTCTCAAGACACAACTTCTCGAAAAGGAGCTGAAATCCTTGGGGTCTATCCAGTGAACCAGCTCCTCTACAGCAGCCCCTCCGCCTGTCTCCCCTCACATCTCATTTCATGTTGGAGGACTCCATCCAGATCAGTTCTGTGTAGGTGTTTGTTTCGGCTCTCCATTGCCCACAGGTTCCGGGCCACGGCCTGGACCTAAACCTAGCACCAGCCCAGCAGTGTGACCAGAGAGCAGACTCTCCACTCACTTTTATTTGCACCCGCTAGGCCCGAGCTGAAGACCTGGGCGGGGGAGGCCGGATGGGGTGGGCCAGCCCTCTTCCATCCCAGTCCCGGGTCTACCCCTCCAGGCGTCTGGCCGAGGTGAAGCCGCGGCCCCTCCAGCCCAGGCACCTCGCGCTTCTCCCCTGCCCTCCACTCCGTTCCCGTCCCACATACCATCGGCTCGATTTTGTCCGAGGACGCTCCTTACCGCTCCCGATCCCCCCCTCGGAGTCCCGCCCACAAGTGGGTGTCCTCAGTCCCCCATCTTCCTGGGGGCAGCGCGCGCGCGGGGTAGTTTAGAGGCGGCGCCGGCCTAGGG